CTCGGATTTCCAGCTGCAGGCGCCCGCGGCGCTCCGTGTGGTCCACGCCGCACAGGGAGGGCACGCTGCGCACACAGCGCCGGTGCACGTTCATCTCGCAACCTGGGGGTTAAGGGAGGGGCCGGGGAGAGGGTGTGGAGAGACAAAACCAGGGGCAGCGCTTCAGGCCCCGCCCGGGACCCGGGGCTCCACTCCCCGGCATTTCCCCGAAGTCAGATGCTGCGCTTCTGCAGACCCCAGATGCGCCCCCCTGTGCCCCCCGGTTCTGGCTGGAGCAGCGAGCGCAGACTCACTCACAGGAGCACTTCATGCCCTGGTGCACCAGCCCGTACAGCAGGGAGCCGCAGTGGTCGCAGAAGGTCGGGCTGCTGTAGCTGTGCAGGCGGAACTTGTGCTTGTTCCGGGGGTCCTGGGGGCGCAGAGGGGCGGGTCAGAGGGCGGGCAGGGGTGTCTGAACCCTCCGCGAGCAGCCCTGGGAGCTCTTCCTCCTCCTGCCTGGCTCTCCCAGCCTCGCCCGGGCTCCGCCTCGCTCTCCCTCATTCCTCAGCATTTATTGAGCAGCTACTGTGTGCCAGCCAGGCTCTGTTCTAGGTGCCGGGATCCAGCCGTGAACCAAAACAAATCAACCTACAGCCAACGCCACACTTAATTGGCAAAAACGAAAAGCATTTCCCTTCAAATCAGGAACAAGTTAGTCAAGATGGATCTGTCAGTGCTAGCCACAGCCATCAGCCACGGAGAAGAAAGGAAAGGCATCCACATTGGAAAGGAGGATGTAAAACTGTCACTATTCGCAGGTGACATGATATTGCGCATAGAAAACCCTAAAGACTCCACTGAGAAACCACTAGATCTAGCAAATGAATTCGGCAAAGTAGCAGGATACAAAATTAATATTTGGCAATTGGTGGCATTTTTAATTTTTAATTTATTTTTTGTTTGCTAATCCTCAAACGAGGATATTTTTCCATTCATTTTTATTTTTAAAAATATTTTTATTGGTTGTTAGAGAGAGAAGAAAGAAGAGGGAAAGATAGAAACATCAATGATGAGAGAGAATCATTGATTGGCTGCCTCCTGCAAACCCCCTACTGGGAATAGAGCCCGCAACCTGGGCACGTGCCCTTGACTGGAATTGAACCCAGGACCCTTCAGTCTGCAGGCCGACGCTCTATCCACTGAGCTAAACCAGCTAGGGCTGATTTTTATTTTTTTAAAACTTTGGAAAAAATATATATATTATTGATTTCAGAGAGGAAGAGAGAGAGAGAGAGAAACATCAATGATGAGAAAGAATCATGGACCAGCTGCCCCCTGCCTGCCCCACACTGGGATTGAACCAGCAAACCTGGGCATGTGCCCTGACTGGGAATCAAACCTGGGACCTTCTGGTTCATAGGTCGATGCTCAACCATTGAGCCATACTGGCTGGGCTTCCATTGATTTTTAGAGAGAGTGAAAGGGAGGAGGAGAGACAGAGAGAAACATCGATGTGAGAGAGTCACATCGATTGGTTGCCTTCCACATGCACCCTGACCAGGGCTGGGGATCAAGCCCACAACCAAGGTACATGCCTTTGACCAGCAATGAACCCAGGACCCTTCAGTCTGCAGGTCCATGCTCTATCCACTGAGCCAAATGGGCTAGGGCAATTTCTATTTTTAATAAAAAAAACAAAACACTCCTGTCCACATGACCTTTGCTTTCTAGTGGAGGGAGACAGAAAATAAGAATGACAAATAAATTATATTGTATTGTGGATGGTAATAGGTGCTCTGGAGAGAAATGAAGGAAGGAAGGAGCCTGCCAGGATTGGGGGGTGGGGGGGTAGGGCGGGGAAGTAGGTGGGTGCTGAAATTTGAAATAGTGGACAACCAGAAGGCATTACTAACAAACAAGGTGGCATTTGGGACATGCCTGAAGGAGGTGGGGCTTCCAAAGTCCCATAACCCCCACACCTAACACCTCACACAGGCTGTTTTTTGAGGACTTGTGGTCCACTATGAGCTCCTGATCATTCACGGGGTCTGCTCTGTCACTGCCTGCTGACCATCTGCCTTCTCTGGGCCCCTGGTGGGATGGAGAATCTGACCTGTTAGTTATAGGGCCTCCGGCGTCCTACATGAAGAATTAAGTATAAACCACACAGCAGGGCCTACAGCAGCGGTTCTCAACCTGTGGGTCGCGACCCCTTTGGCGGTCGAACGACCCTTTCTTTCACAGGGGTCGCCTAAGACCACCCTACATATCAGATATTTACATGATGATTCATAACAGTAGCAACATGACAGTGATGAAGTAGCAACGAAAATAATGTTATGGTTGGGTCACAACATGAGGAACTGTACTTAAAGGGCCAGAAGGTTGAGAACCACTGGCCTAGAGTGTTAAATGTGCTCCATACTGCTACTTGTATGCTGTGGTGGTTGTTAGTGATTTCATTTTTTTGAACATTTATTTTATTATTATTTTTATTATTATTTTAATCCTCACCCGAGGATATTTTTCCATTGAATTTTAGAGAGAGTGAAAGAGAGAGGGAAAGACAGAGAGAAACATCCATGTGAGAGAAACACATGGATTGGTTGCCTCCTGCAGGCGCTGGGACCAGACACCCCCCCACCCCCCAGCCTGCAATCGAGGCACAAGGTACGTGCCCTTGACCAGAACTGAACCCTGGACCTTTTAGTCCAAGACACTCTATCCACTGAGCCAAACCGGATAGGGCGTTGTCAGTGATTTCACTGCAGCCCCCACATAGCTCTGAATTAAGAGCTAGGCCATTTCCGAGCTGTGCGATTTGGGGCAAGTTCACGTCCAATTGTGAGCCCTAGCGCCCTTCTCTGCCCAGTGGAAATAAACAATCTCTATCTTGAAGCGTTGCTAACTGTCTAGAGTCCAATTAAGCGAGAATTTAGGGCACCGGTAAAGCTCTCTCGCTCCACCCCCCACCCCACCCCGCAAGGTCGCAGTGTTAAATCATCTGATGTTTGTCTAGTGCGAAGTATGCACTGGCAAGAGTTATCCGAGGAGGGTGAAAATTCAGGACACTCCGGGACTTCTCTGCATTTGGCAGCTCATTGGCGATCCTATGTCGGAGGAGACTTGGGTGGCAGGGGGGTGCTGGTGGCGGCCGGCCCCAGATCTCTTTCAGTGCGCTGGCTTCTGAAGATATTCAGCTGATCCTGAATCAAAGGGCTTCTGCCTGCCCAACGGGATGCTGGGAATGAACGCCCTCAGCAGGGTGGCCGGCACTCGCGAGCCCAGGGGTAGAAGCTGTTATTATTCTCAAGGTGAACGTCACTGATGCAAAGGGGACAGTGCTGGGCTCCAGGGAGAGGCGGCAGGGTCCACATTTTAACTGTGCCCCAATACCCAGCTCTATGGGCCCCGGTCCCTTCCGAGACCCAGGCTTCCTTCCTATAAAGTGTGTGTAGGGAGGAGTGGGGGGGCATAGGGGGGGTGCCTTAGCTGTTTGGCTCAGTGGATACAGCATTGACTTTCGGACTAAAGGGTCCAGGGTTCTATTCCAGTCAAGGACACATGCTCGAGTTGCGGGGGCCTGCAGGAGGCAGCCGATCAATGGTTCTCTCTCATCATTGATGTTTCTATCTCTCCCTTCTTCTCTGAAGTCAATGAGGATATATTTAAATAAACAAACAAACAAATAAATAAAATGGGGGGGTGGTGGTTGGGAAGTAAGCCCTCCCTGCAAGGGGTCTTGTGAAGACTAAATGGAAGTCATACTTGTGAGGCCCTTAGCACTTAAACCTTTGACCCATGTTACTTATGAGATCGAAGGCATTAAGAAGCCCGGCCCCCGAAATAGCTCAGTGGTTGAAAGTTGACCTATGAACCAGGAGGTCACGGGTCGATTCCCAGTCAGGGAATATGCCTGGATTGCGGGCTTGATCCCTGGTGTGGGGCATGCAGATGGCAGCCGATCAATGAGTCTCTCTGTCATTATTAATGTTTCTATCTCTCTCTTCACAGGAACAAATACAATATTTGTATTTGCATTTGGCCCACGGGCTGTAGTCTGAGGACCCCTGTCCTAGAGTATGAAACTAAGTTTGCTCCTAAGCCAGCATCATAGAAGCAGCTCTAGGTTACCTTATAAACCTGCGCTTGCATCAATGTTTGTCTTTCTCCCTCTCCTTTCCTCTCTCCCTAGAAATCAATAACAAATCTCTCTTCTTAAAGCATGAAGAGGAAAAATGACGCCAGATGGATGGAGAGGAAAGATTACCTCCTCACCATTCCCTCTCTGTTCCGGCATCGGCAGCAGTAATAACTTTAACAACGACGATAACTCACATTTCGTCTCTTGCCATGGGCCAGGCACGGTTCCAAGTCTTTGACTCATTTGCTTCTCAGACCGATCCTACGAGGTGGGCATGATGATCTAGCTCCCAGCTCCCTCAGTTTACAGGCAGGGAACCCAGGAGGCACAGAGAAGAGGTAAGCTGCCTTCTGGAAGGTCACAGAACCCATACGTGGAGGTGCTGTGACTGGAGCCCAGGCGTCTGGCTTGGGGGGTCTCTGTCAGACGAGCACAGGACCAGTACCGAACCCCATAAGCTGTTGTGCGGATTCAATCCTCCACTATTCACCATCCCTGCCGAGTGTGCGCCACGAACACGGGATAAATCCGTGGCGTTGGCAGAGGAGGTGGGCAGGGGAGGCGGCTGATGGATACCATTTGTGGGTGCTGGGAGACAGGGGTGCTCAATACATGTTCTGTGAAGTCCCATCTTCTACGGAAACTTCCATGTTCTCACTTGACAAGCTGGCGACATGACTCATAGATGTCTCTGTGTGTGTCTGTGTCCCTGCCTCTTTCTCCATCTACTCATCAGAAAACCATCTCTAACCCTGGGCTCGACTCCTCACCCGCCTGATTTCACTGAACTGTCAGAACAAGCCTGGGATGTCTAGCTTCCTGCGGACCCGGGAGGTAGAGGCTGTGCACGTGTGGCAATTTAAGTTTAAACCCGTTCAAACGGAAGGGGATTTAGAGTTCCCTCCCTCAGGCACCCCAGCCCCTCTCAAGCGCTCCCTGGCGGGGAGGTGGTGGCTTCAGGCTTGGACACACAGACAGGCATGTCCACAGAGACTCTACTGCTCAACACTAGCGGGTCGGCCCCACTTTATAGGGGAGGTGGGGGCGGGACTGGGGCTCAGAGAAAAGAGCCCTGAAGCCAGACAGACAGACCGTGAGGGGAGGACCAGGGATGGGCTGTTCTAGTGAGCCCCCGAGGGGTGGGGCTGGGGAGGGAGGGAGAAATGGTAGGTATCTGTGTGTGCACACATAAAACACTATGTGCGCGTGTACGCACGTGGGGATCTATATATCACGGTGTGTGCACATGGGGAAGTGTATATGCACACGTGTGCGCATGGGGACCTGTACATGCAGGTGTGTGCACATGGGGATCTGTATGTATAAGTGTGTGTGCACATGGGCACCTATATGTATAAGTGTGTGTGCACATGGGGACCTGTATGTACACGTGTGTGTGCACATGGGGCCCTGTATGTACACGTGTGTGTGCACATGGGGCCCTGTATGTACACGTGTGTGTGCACATGGGGACCTGTATGTACAGTGTGTGTGCACATGGGGACCTGTATGTACACGTGTGTGTGCACATGGAGAACTGAATATGTAGGTGTGTGTGCACATGGGGGATCTGTATATGCAGGTGTGTGCACATGGGGACCTGTACATGCAGGTGTGCGCACACATGGGGATCTGTGTGTATAAGTGTGCGTGCACATGGGGATCTGTATATGCAGGTGTGCGTGCACATGGGGATCTGTGTGTATAAGTGTGTGTGCATGTGGGGAACTGTATATGTAGGTGTGTGTGCACATGGAGAACTATATATGTAGGGGTGCGTGCACATGGAGAACTATATGTAGGTGTGCGTGCACATGGGGATCTGTGCGTATAAGTGTGTGTGCACATGGGGAACTGTATATGTAGGTATGCGTGCACGTGGGGAACTGTATATGTAGGTGTGAGTGCACGTGGGGAACTGTATATGTAGGTGTGCGTGCACATGGGGATCTGTGCGTATAAGTGTGTGTGCACATGGGGAACTGTATATGTAGGTATGCGTGCACGTGGGGAACTGTATATGTAGGTGTGAGTGCACGTGGGGAACTGTATATGTAGGTGTGCGTGCACATGGGGATCTGTGCGTATAAGTGTGTGTGCACGTGGGGAACTGTATATGTAGGTGTGCGTGCACATGGGGAACTGTATATGCAGGTGTGCATGCATATGGGGATCCATGCGTATAAGTGTGTGTGCACATGGAGAACTGTATATGTAGGTGTGCATGCACATGGGGATCTGTGTGTATAAGTGTGTGTGCACGTGGGGAACTGTATATGTAGGTGTGCGTGCACACGGGGAACTGTATATGCAGGTGTGCGTGCACATGGGGATCCGTGTGTATAAGTGTGCGTGCACATGGAGAACTATATGTAGGTGTGCGTGCACATGGGGGTCTGTGCGTATAAGTGTGTGTGCACGTGGAGAACTGTATATGTAGATGTGCGTGCACATGGAGAACTATATGCAGGTGTGTGTGCACATGGAGAACTATATGTAGGTGTGCGTGCCCATGGGGGATGTGCCTATGTGTGTGCGTGCACTGGGGATCTGTGTGTGCACGTGTGTGTGCATGTGTACTGCCAGATCTCTCTGGGCCTCCCTCTCTCAGAACCTCGGCTGTTTTCCGTGCCCACCATTTTCTGTCCTCGGCTCTCTGCGTGCCTGCACCCCTGTCTCTGAGTGTCCCCGTCCTTGTCTGCCTGTCCAGTCCACATCCCCTTTGCATTCTTCCTGTGCGTTGCTCGCTCTCTCTCTCTCTCTCTCTCTCTCAACTGGAGCCTCTATCTTTCCCTGCATCTCTGAGATTCTCTCTCCTTATCTCAGCATCCCGGGGCCTGCCTCATATTTCTCTCCCTCTGCCCCTCAGCTCTGTTATCAAATCTCTTGAGCACCGGCCCACAGCCCCGCCTCCAGCGCCAGTCCTTGGCCCCCTTGCCCCTGCCTTCCCTCTGTGTCCCCCGCCCGGCTCAGTCCCCTCTGATTCCCCCCCTTTCCAGGCCAAGGGCAGGGAATCTGGGCCAGACCGGCTCCCCCTATCTCTCCAGCCCCCCCCTCTCCCCTCCCCTCCCAGCCTTAAAAATAGCAGGAGAAATTGGGACGGACGCCTAGGGGGTGAGGGCGGGGCGCGGCCTGAGGAGCCACCAGGTGTGTGGGCACTCACGTCCGTCTGGGGGCCCTTCCCGGCGCCTGGACACTCGAAGGTCACGAATTCGTGGCATCGGCGATGCACCACAAAGCTGCAGACTGGAGGCGAGAATCAGAGAGACCCCCGGGGGACAGGGAGTCAGAAGGAGAGGGACCCCGACAGGGAGAACGCCAGTGAGGCACAAACCCTGCCCCAGAGAGTTCAACGGGGAGACGGGGAGGTGGACATTCAAGACAGAAACAGAATCGGAGCATCCCAGAGAGAAGTGCAGAGCACAGAGGGCCGGCGAGACACAGAGACACAGAGACAGAAGCAGAGACAGGAAGGGGGAGAGAGAGAAAGAGACACACAGAGAGACTAGGACCCGGCTGATGGACACAGGCCACAGAGGGAGAGGAGAAAGCCAGAAGGGCGCAGGCAGGGAGAGGGGAGAGAGGAAGCCCACAGAAGAGTCCTGGACGGAACAGAGAGCAGCCACTCGGGCAGGAGTGAGTCTGGGGGCGCCGCTGCGGCCGCCCCCTCCCTGACTCACTCTGTTCCCAGCCTGGCAGCTGGTGCTTGGGGGACTCGCCCCGCTCTCCGCCCCCCTATCACTGCGGG